ATTCATTCATATCTCTATTGATTTATATATATATATATATATATATATTATATATATGTATATATATCCAGTCATATCTCTATTGATATATATATATATATTATTTATGTATATATATATATATACATATATATATAATATTCATACATATATGAATACATATATAATAATAAATATTATGTATGTATTTATTTATATATGTGATATATATTAATTTTTACACACATTACCATACACACACATTGTCGGTGGTGAAAATCCAATTCTTATGACATCTTGCAACTTAAATAACACACCTGGATATCGTACCTGTTCTATACGGGAGCGGTATTAACAATATCCCCTTGGTGCCGGGTATGACGTGTACGTACGTGCTATGCCCACCGTGAGTACTTGTTTGATTGTTTTCACGCATAGATGGCAACACTTGTACTAACTCCCCAATGAGCCAGTTACGAGCACCGCCCGTCTCGCCCGTTTACCCGTTTCTTTGATTTACAAAATATTTTACATAATCTTATTTTGCTGTTACTAATGTTAAAAAAATATATAAAAATTATAATGTTTATGATAAAAAAACACCATCGATTTTCATAGCACTAGTGAAAAATACGTTTTTCCCGCCATTTAAATCAGGCGCTAGCAGAGCCATCTATCGGCAGACATTTCACGAAAAATATAGAAAGTGGGCACAATATTTTCCCATTTTTTGTTCATTTTCCCCGGCACCATTGGGATATACTTACCCAAGTACATATATATGTATATACATAAATGTGTATATATATATATGTATATGCATATATATGCATGGGTATATATATGTATATGCATATATATGTACGAGTATATATATGTATATGCATATATGTATATGAGTATATAAATGTGTATATATATATATAAATATATAAATATATATATATATATATATATATATATATATATATATATGTATATATATATGTATATGTATGAGTATATATATCTATATATATGTATCTATGCATATGTAGATATATGTATATGAATATATATATGTATACATATACATACACGCGATATGATGTAATGTAAACTATATGTTTATATACATATATAGTGTATTATATCGGTATTATATACCCGCGTGGCGCCCACGTGGAGGCTTGCAGTGGCCACGTGGTGCCCACGCGGCCCACACTAAGCGGCGTGCCCCAACGGATGAGCGGTTCTCTTTGCCGCCCCCAAGCCAGCGTCTCGGATAATTAAGGCCGCGTTTTGACCGGTCAAGGAGAGTGTGCCGTGGGGCGGTCAAGGTCACAACAGCCCGCTGGGCCGGTCTGCCGTGGAGGTGGGCTGGCCGGTGACCCCAAGTGACCAGCCCTAACCCAAGACTGTCATCCCTTGTGTTTATTCACTGTGGGCTGAACTCTATAGAATAAAAGCGATTTAAGCCACTAAGCTTTTACTACTTCCCTGTCACCAATGTTTACAGGCCCTTATATAACCTCTTACACATATATGTAAATATATATATATATATATATATATATATATATATATATATATATATATATATATACTGTGTGTGAGAAAGAGCGTGTGTGTATGCGTGTATATATATTCCTATAGATATGAATACATATGTATGTGCATTCATATTTATATTTATACATATACTGATAAATGTATACACATTCATCTTTACATACACACAGTAAATATATATAAACATATATTCATATACATATTATACATATATGTATATATAAATATATATATATTTATATTTACTTATATATATTCATATATATACATATACATATATATATTCAACTTTATAGATACACACACACATATTTATCTCTAGATATATTCATATATAATATATATACATACATTCATATACATATAATTAATTTAATTTATGTAGCTATATACACACACATATGAATATGTACTCGTTGGTGGGGCTTGTGAGGATCGAGGATGACTCACGCCAGTCTAAGTAAGTATTTTTTTCCACACAGTATAGTGTTGATTCCATTCCCGTATAGAACATGTACGATTTCCATGTACGCTACTTTAGTTGCAAGATATCACTTATTGGGGAATGCCTATGTCCAGCAACGGACTTTTCAGGAATGTATATGTACATATATATATGTGTGCATGTATGTTTATAATATATATATATATATATATATATATATATATATATATATATATATATACATATATACATATATATACAATATAATGTTTCCATTCCCGTATAGAACACGAATGCCACGTACGACACGATTACCACATACTTAGCTGCAAGATACCACATATATACATATGTATATATATATACATATATATATATATATATATATATATATATATATATATATATATATACACACATGTATGTATGTATATATGTATGCACATATACAAGCCAAACACACACACATATACACAAATATATTTCCACATATCACACACATTAATCATCTGACAGTATCTTGCAATGGCGACCTGATCTGTACGAGAATAAAACAGCTCGCTCTCTAGCACAAAGACGGAAAGGAGCAGTCCTGCATTCAGAATGAAGCTTCACGCACCTATCTTCACTTTACTGTCTTTCGCTTCACTCTCGATTTTGGCCGAGAGCTCCCAAGCGGTAAGTAATCAATGGCTTTCTCCGACTTAGCCCTATGCCCGTCCTTTGAACGAAACATCTTGTTTCGTTTTGATAAATTTCATTTTCAGTCAAACTATCGACACGCCTGTGTAACGATCTGCTGAACCGTTGTTACAATGCGCAACGAAACGAAGGCGCTCGTTACGGAATTAAGATTTGATTGTATGTCATTTTTACATTGATGGGAATGGTAGCGTGGGAAAAAAATAATTTCTGGTAGGAAAATCTTAATACATATATATACATATATATACATATTGTTGATATGGTAGAAGAATTCATCTTCCCTGCGTGTATAAAGCCAGTTTGACTTGTCAATGCATATATGACTCGTTGTGGGGATCAGTAAAACACAGAGTTGATGCGCTTAACTCTATGTATTTAGGAGGAACTGCTACTACAACTGAGGGTTGTTCACATTGTGGGTATAAAACTCTGCCGTTTGATGGCGTACATAACTTTACAAAATATAATTTCACCTTAATTCAGGCATTACGAGGTATATCATTGATACATGAGATATAAGTATCCTTATACTAATAACCATCTTTGATTATTCCAACACCCCCTCTTAATTAAAGATGGGTATGTGATCTGAGAATCTATCCCCTGATATATTTAAAAACTTCCAACTTCTGGTTCACAGGTTTTGTAAATATATCAGCTGGATTCTGTTGTGTAGGAACATAAAATAACTTTACATTACCCTTTTTTTACTTCATCTCTAATGAAATGGTAACGAATATCAATGTGCTTTGATCTTTGGTGATTCATAGGATTTTTGGCAAGATTGATAGCACCTTGGTTGTCAACTCCTAAGTCTACAGAGTTTAACTTAAATCCTAACAGATCAGATACAATATGTCTTAGGAACTTTGCTTCCTGAATGGCGTAAGTAAGGGCCATGTACTCTGCTTCACAAGATGAAAGTGCAACTGTTTGTTGCTTCTTACTTCTCCATGATATAAGTGGTCCATCATTATGTAATTGAAGACAATATCCTGATATGCTTTTTCTGTCTTCAGATGATCCCCAGTCTGAATCACAAAATCCTTTGAGTTGAACTGGTTCATCTGACTGTCTAAATCTAAGACCATATGTCATGGTACATTCCTTGCATAACAATCTGACATGTTGAATCTGTCCAAAATCTTTTCTACATATTTGGTTTGATTCACCTCAATGTAATCTTTATCTGTAACAAATGACATTCTTGCTGTTGGTGCAAAGGTCTCTCCATAGTCAATGTCTTTTACTTGTGAATAACCTATGGCGACGTACCTTGCTTTGTATTTTTCTTTGTTGTTTGGTCCAGGTTTTACTTGATAAACCCATCTCCCACCTACTGCTGTATGTGACTCAGGTAGTGTGGTAAGGTCATAGGTGTCATTGTCTTGAAGTGAAGAGATTTCTTCGTCCATTGCTTTCTTCCATTGGGGTGCCTCTGGGGATGCAATAGCCTCTTGATAAGTGACTGGTACTGGGTTATGTGACACTTGGTAGCAATGATGTATAAAGCTTTTATGTGTCACACTGGAGATACTGTCGTCCAGTTCATCAGTAATGTAGTCATCTAATTTTGAGGGTTTACATCTTTCTCGAGTTGGATATCTTCTTTCCTCACTTATGTTACCTGGTGTTTCGTCCTGGTTTCCTTGAAGTGGTTTCTGCTGAAGTCTAGTCTCCACCAAGATATCATCTTCATCTGTTTTCTCCTCATTTGGTGATTCAGCTACATTGGGTAAGTTTTCCATGAACTTAACAAATCTGATTTTCTTTATTGTTTGAGATTCTGGGAAGTAAATCAAGTAGGCTGGGCTCTGGTCATCATAGCCCACAAATATTCCTTCCTTACTCCTGGGATCAAGTTTCTTCTTCTCTTGTTCATATGCAAAACATCTTACTCCAAATATATTCATTTTGCTTATGTTTGGCCGTCTTCCAGTAAGCATTTCCACTGGAGTCTTCCGAGTTCTGGGATTATAGCACCTATTCCTAATGTAACAAGCAGCCCTCACAGCATAACTCCACATATCTTTGGGTAACTTGGACTCAATTAGTAGACATCGAGCCATGTCAAATATTGATTTGTGTGATCTCTCAACTGTCCCATTTCGATGAGGTGAGTAGGGCGCAGAAAATTCTTGTTTAATCTTATTCTCTATAAGGAGTGTTCTGAATTCCTTATTTGTAAATTCTGTTCCACAGTCACATCTCAGACTTTTTATATTGCCATATGGTGCTGTTTCTGCAAGATATCTTTTCATAGCATGCACTGCATCACTCTTACTCTTAATGAGGTAGATTCTGAGAGCTCCTGAATAGTCATCTATGAAGGAGATACTATACCTGTAACCTCCTTTAGCTGCTGGATCAATAGGTCCTACTACATCACAGTGTACTAAATCTAAAGGTTGTTTAGCCTCTTTGTCTGGCTCTCTATTTCTATACTGTGTCATCTTACCAAGAGCACATGTGGTACAGCTGAACTTATCTTTACCTAAAATCTGCATTCCGTCAACAATAGCTTCAAGCTTTTGCACATCAGCCACATTGCAGTGTCCTAGGATTTTATGCCATTCCTCTAGGGTGTGCTTTGCTTGTCCTAAATTAATCTTGTTAAGATTATCCACTTGGGAGTTTGTGTGTAGCTTACCTCTACGTAAGTAGAATAATTTGTTCTTCTCTACAATGTCAAATATCCTACCATCCTTGGTAGTTAGTGAACTGCCATTAGGTGAAAAAGTAATGCTATGTCCACTCTTAATGGCTTTCCATACTGACATGATGTCTTGCTTAAATCCTGGTATGTATAGTGCATCTTTCAACACAATACTTCTTGAGTTGCCGTCTCGATCTTGTATAGAGTCCTTGACATCACCAACTCCCTGTACAGTTCCTTGTTGCCTTTGGCCGTCCGTCCGCCAGCATAGCGCCCTCTCTTTTCCATGCTCCTTAGCAAAGACCGTATTACTTCTCTTTGCTCTGGGAACCACTCAGACTTTATCCAGAGGGGCACTATCTGTTAATACAAATGTGTGGTTTCTCCAAAAGTACTCTTTAGAACCCACACTAAAATATATATATTCATACAGGTTACTTATGATCTAATTTCAGCCTTAGAGGTAACTGAGAGAAGGGGATAATATCAAATCACTTATTAAGTTTACACTTGTTGTTGATATATTGAGTTAAAGATCATTACACATCTACAGTAAAATAAACTTTCATCTACAAAAAAAAAAATGTCCAAATGGTTGTATTCCAACCTGTCACTTTTATACTTCTGGTTCTTCTCAGGTGCCTTCTTTCCTTGTCTTCATCAATATCCTGGGCTCTTTCATTCTTGTTCACAGCCCCAGGGACGCATAGATCACAACTTCAGAAGAACCAAACAAACCATAAAAAAATAAAACAAAACCACAAAAAAAAACACTCCTAGAAAAGAAACAAAATTCTAGTTTAGGAATGATAAACAATATAAAGTTATTAAATGTAAGTAAATCAGTTCTTGAAAGATGAAAAACAATATTTCTTACAAACAAATTATATATAATATTTATGTTATTGTTACGCCGGCCACCTCTCTACCTGCCACCAACACGAGGCAGGCTAGGCAAACGACGTGTTATTCACAGAGTCGTGAACACTGAACAGCTCCAAGAGGCACCGAGTACCACACCGTCCCAAAACACCACGAGGGAAAACGCCACGGGCGAGGCAGGGCACGAAAGAAAAACTCACAATCACTGTCTTTCCTTTATTTACACAGTTATTTACCCGTACACTTTTCTATAGGCACAATACAGGAGGCAAACCAGCACATCACACTGCACAATACAGCATATAACAGGGCAACACAAAGTATATCAGGCTGGAGAAGGGCACACGCGAGGTCATCACAGCAGCGGCACCAAAACTCGACTCCCCCGTCTGCCCCCTTCCTCCGCCGCCGCGTCATCCTCCTGTCAAAATACGCCAACACGCGTTCGCACACGTTTGCACAGAGACAAAGACCCTCTGGCGTAGCATTATTATATACGATCTGAGTAATATATTATCGTAATATTTGATTAAATATCATTATAATATTACGCAATTATGAATGCCAAGAACACTTACTCTTTGAATGGGTTTTAAATTCTTACAAACAAGAGAGACACATCGGATGTTATTCAAGAGCCATGTGCCAGCCTCGAGATGTGAAGAAGATATACTCTTTATCTCTAATTTTCAGTTTAATCTCAAATAGTTACTTTCTTTTCTTCTGTAAATCAATTGTACAGTAGTTCATGACTTTATTAATTATATTATTATAGTGGAATGTTCTTTCTTACCTCAGATATTTCACAATAATCAAATACTCTTTCAGGCTGCTGTATTGCACTCCTCTCTGATCTGATCTCTCTCTCTATGATTATAGCTATGTTTTCAGGATTTAGCACTGTATATACTTTGAATTTTAAAGTCTACTCAGATCACATATATTACCCTTATACAGTTCTTCTTAATCTATACATGCATAATTTTCAGAACTTAAATGAATCCTTCCATTAACAAAAATAATATATATGGTTTTCTTTACAAAAATATCAATTATACAACCTTAATATAATAATACTATTGAAATATAATAGGGTACCCTTTAAATAAAGAGAATGTATGGTGGGGGGGTAACAAAAAAAAACTTATACTTTGTAGGGTAAACTATCATATTTTACAATTTTCTTATCTTAGAAAAAATATGATATTGAAATATATAGAATTTCATGTAAAACTATTAAAATAAAATATCATCTTTCTAGAAAAATAATTAAGTACCTTTT